ATCACAGAGGTGCTCAGGCCAGAGAACCAGCAGGACATCGGAGCAGGCAGAAACGAGCGCAGGATGAGACACAGTTGTCCGCCACTCCTCAAGTGTGCGACGGAGAACAGGGAGGGGTGCAATACAGGCTGCAACCAGATCATAGATCTCCTGATCGGTGGCCCGTACGAGCGGGCGTAGCGCACATTGCAACTCAGGGCAAATTTCAGGACCGGGTTCATTGAAGATCCTAATCCCAGGACCCGGTTCAGCCGGCGTTTGTGCATGCGCGGTGGAAGTGTCGACCGCGTACAGAGCCTCAGGCTCGGGGTTATGCATGAGGATGCGAAGACATCTCTCGGAGTGCTTCAGGTGTAGGCAGAGCTTGGCAGGGGTAGCTACCAGTAGTCCGCAGGCCTGACAGCGGCGTCCTCGAGCCAGACTCTGAGCAGGATGGTGGTAGGAGTGCGCACGGTGTGCATGAGCGCCCCATGCCTGTCTACTCCGAAAGGCCAACTTGCACGGAAGGCACGCATGGACACAAGCAGCAAGCCCAGGAACACCCGATGGGGGAGAAGGTGGCCATGCCATTCGTCCAAAGGTTTCGCCGGCAGCACGGATGTGGCAGGCTTCAATGTGCCAAAGCTCGGCCCGCTTTATGAGACCCTTGAAACGCCCTGGGGAAGAGAGCATCATGGCTTCCCATTGAGGCCAACAGGTGGCAATGTCGCCCAAAGCGGCACAGCCTCGAATGGCTTCGAGGAGCCAATCAGCCGCCAGGCGGAGCCCATGTGTGAAGGCGTCAAAGCGCTGCATCAGTGCCCATGCAAAATCCGGACCCGAACGCACCATAAGCAAAAGGAATCGAAGCCTTTCTGCAGAGAGCAACGAACGAGGAGACGGAAGCCCTGTGCGGGAAAGGATTTGGGACTCCGTAACCCTCCAGGCCTCAGCGTGTAACCCGAGAAGCTGCCGATACAGACTAATGATCCCGCCTGAGAAGGCTTTCCATTCAGAGGGGCGCAAAACAGGCCATGTACCGCAACCTGATAGGATGGCAGACAACACATGTGACCGAAGAAGGGTTGCGCGCTTGGAGATGTCGATGCGCTTGCACGCAAACAGCCGCGGCTTGCCTTCGCGGAACGCCGTGCGGCCGACTGCCATTCTATGTTTGATCTCCATGATCAAGCTGCCGTCCCAGGAGATAACAGAACCAAGGTGTTTGTAAGAAGTGACCAGCTCCAAATGCACCACCCCTGAGTGCTCTGGCCAGACAGGAAGCTTGCCACGCATTGCCGTAAAGAGCTCACGGCGAGCATCGCGGGAACCGCGGCCATGCACAGAAACAATGGCAGCGGTCTTGGTGGGGCCAAGGTTAGCAGTCAGACCGTGCTCGGGAAGCACGTCAAGCGTGGCGGCAGCAACATCGCCAAGTGCACTACGCAGGGCTCCGGGCTCGGAGGCCGCAACAAAGGAAGCAAGGTCATCCGCAAACACCACATCTTGGACCGCCAACGGGCGGGAGGCACCATGAGCCGCAACGGGGAAGGGACATCGAGTCCCTGTCCATTCCACTCTGGGCACGGTGTCAACGGCGGTTTTCTGCGAGCGTCGCACTAAAACCCGGCCAAATAGCAGGTTAAAAATGACGTCCGCAAGGGCGCCACCGGGGCGCGTGCCCCTGTGGGTTCGAATGAGCGTGGCATCATTGGCTAGAACAAACCACGTATGACTATGCAGTTCGCGAGCCAATTCCACAAAAAGAGCCGATGATCCCTGCTCACACAGCACAGGTTGTTCGGCAATGTGGGATTGCATGACCTGCAAGTCGGCGTCTGAGAGCCCCAGCGTGGCGGCAATAGAGCTAACACTTCTATCGCTGAGGTCAGCACCCAGTATGGTCTCCCGAACGACGCTATAATAAGCGGCTGCCAGGTCAACAAAGAGGATGCTGGAGGCTTGGCCAGAAGCCCGGGTGTGCGCGAGAAAGGCCCTTGAGCAAAAGTGTCCAAAGTGGGCCGAACAACCTTTACGTCCTCCTAGCTGAACCGGTAACGCATGTGGGAGCCACTGTGACGTTGCTAATCCCCTGACTGACCGGTGAAGGGCCTTTGAGATGCAAGATTGCACAAGTATGCCTCGATGGCCGGTGCAGAAGTGCCGTAAGGCAGTGTTTGGCTTCGGAATGTGGTGCAGAAGCCCTCCTTTAAGGCCAACTGCTTCGGCCGCACACAAGGCTGTTTTGAGCATGACAGGCCAGAAAAGCTGCGCCATGTCGGAGCTGAAAAAGTGACAAAGCGCTGGGGGTAGCATGTCCGGGCCACATGCTTTTGCAGCAGCAGTGGCACGGAATGATTGCGCGAGTGTTTCGATCGTAGGCACATCTTTGACTTCAACAAAATCAGTGCCAGTAAAGGAGGTGTGCCATACTTTACATGAAGCCGCCAACGCATCCGCAGAAGTCAGCACACCGTCCTCAAGAGCACTGAAGTGCTCGCGCCAAGCACTTTGGGCATCGGCATCTGAACCGCACACTGTGCCATCCTTATTATAAAGTAAAGGCAGCGGATCCGCACTAGTCCGACGAAACCTCTTAGGTTTAAGAACCTTTTTGACAGAATGGTGCAAGCTCCCGGCAGGGCTGTGTTGTACCTCGTCGGCAATTGATGCAAAGTATGCCGCTCGATCGGCCCGGCATTGCTGTCGCAATCCCCACCCAGCCCTGTGCAGCAGAAGACAGGAAAGGGCAAGTTTGTGGCGAAGATCCCAGAGCCATTTGCCAGTGAAGAGGGCGCAAAAGCTGTCGCCTCCTGGCTTCCAGGCAAGGAAAGCGCACCTCACGCGGGTCCAGTCCAGAGCGACCTTGCGTGCTCGAATGCAATGCCGAAGAGTGCCAACCAGCTTGTGCATCGCTTGGGTAGTGTCTGAGAGGTGCAGATTGCGAAGGCGTCGGCTAGACGCCGGGAAGAGCCGTGCCAGGCTTCGGTACAAATAATCGACCAAAACAGCGGCATGTTCACTGACATCGACCTTCCAAGCAGGTCTTGGGGCACTGCGCAACACATTATGGACTGCGTCCGCGTTCTCCGGGTGGGAAAGCGCAGCAACATCAATCTTGACCGGACGCCTGACATGTGCCTGCTTTGGGAACTTGAGATTGGCCGAAAAACAAGCAGCAAAATGGTCAATGCAGGCGTGCCCTGTGGAGATGCCCGGATCAACCCAAGCTTGGCATTCGCCAGCGCTCCAGTTAAAAGGGACGCAAATGTAGTCGGAACGGACTATCGCGCCATTCCTGTGGAGGCACAAAGTACCCCCGTCGCCTGACATAACCCCCGGAAAGGTCGCTGGAAGCCAGAGATCGAGCTCTAAGGCAAGAGCGTGCAAGGCCGCTCCGGAGAGGTCTTCGGGGTCGGACTGATAAGGTCCAATTGCCCGACTGGGACTGCTGCCGAGCCGGCAGTTTCCGTCGAGCAGGAAAATCCATGGCCGGCCCTGACTGAAGGCTCTGCAAAGCTTGCTGACCTTCTGCCACCAGCTCGCGCGGACTTCTTCGCTGTGTGCACGGTGGGGTGCATGGCCAACAAAAACCCGCATACTGGTCTGTCGGAACATCACACCGGCTATGAGCACAGTCGGTTCGGCGTGTAGGACCGCCACAGTCCTAGGCTGGAAGGGGCTGTTAGAAGCTACCCACAATTCAACCCCAAAACCTATTTCGGCGTCACAACCAGATGCGAAGCGGTGATAATTTTGGCACCTGTAAGACCCTGGAGGGGTCCGGCATTCCTGTAAGCCTGCGAGGTGAACTCCGCGGTTTTCCAACGTGTTGGCCAGCAACGTGGTGCGACCTGTCGCTCCATGCAGACCAGCAGATAGGCCAGAAATATCCCCGCTTAGCAAAGAGAGCACATTATATGTCACAACATGAACGGCCACCGAGTCTGTGGTGCCATCAGCAGTAGGAGGCGCATCTGGGACCGCGCGTAGAAAGGGCGCCATAACATCTACACATCGATCCTGTGAAAAGCCGTCCGTTCTCCATGAAAGGAGATCGTGCTGTAGAGAAGGGAACTCCTCAGGCCTGCTTCTCGAAAGGCAGAGTTGCGGCAGCCACTGACTGGCAAATCCAGATTGCCGAAACCACAGAGCGAGGTTCACCGAGAAGGGAGAAACGGAAGAGCGGCCGGTCGATCCAAGAAAGGCCAGGCCGTCAGCCAGTTCATTGGAGCAGTCCCCCGCGTGCCCGTACACATGTTGAAAGTGTATGGGGCGATCGGATAGGCCCCGCAGAGTGCTAACTTGCGTGGATTCCCTTCGGGGGTTTGCACTCCGGGCAACCCCGGGGGATTCAGATCAATCCATCGTTTCCGACATCTGCTCGATGTTGGCGATGTCTAGTCTTTACAAGCTTCGGGTTTGGAGCTGCTGAGTTTGCAAGTTTAGGGAGGCTTCGAAATCTGTTGGTGATCACGGCCTCAGACATAGTCATGCAGAATAATCGCTTGCAGCCTTTGAGGTCTGGTCATTCTGGTCTACCGGTCGTTTTTCTGGCTCTGAACGCAAACAGCTCTACACATTACACACGGTCTACATCGCGCAGGGTGTTAGGGCTAATCGTTGAGATCACTGCGCCAGGCCTTTATAGAACTACGAACGACTGCGAGCATTTCAACAACTAGAAACACATCCTACTGAAATTCCCAAGGCTTCACGCAAAGGCATCAAGAATGTGCTTCAAGTCTCGAAGATTTCAGCCTGTAGTTTCAACTCGAGAAGAACCGAGGTGACTGCGACCAGCTGGCATCTGTATTTTGCTGGCCATCAGCAGAGCACGATAATCTGTTTCAAAAACACAACAGAGATCGGTGTCTCTGTCACAACTTTGAAGCCTGACTCAAAAGCTGCCATAAAGCCGAAACAACAGCTGCAGTATAACTTATGGTATGTAACAACACGTCAACCCTAAACTTAACCTTATGAACCGGCAGCGTGTGCGTGTGTGTCAGAGCGAAGCTTCACTCTGTCTCGACAGCTGACAAGAAGCAAGCTGTCGCTTTCAGCTTGTCCACAGGCTTTTTCGAAGCCTCGTGCAAGCTGATCAAAACACTGTAGCTCTCAGCGGCCTCGTTTGAAGCGTACAGCAAAGTCTTTCGGATGCCGTACACCAACACACCGCGCTTGCAATGCTCAGTAGCGACGAACCCGGCTGGGATGAACATAATCTGACCCTCCTTCTGAACGATCCACTGAGGAGCACATCCATGGGATGAGAGTGTGATCATGTCCCGGTCGGTGAGGGCCTTCAAGAAGGCTGACACGCCTTCCAAGCCACCAATGTCGTCCTTGCTCAGCATGATTCTCATCGCTGGCACAAGCTTCTTGAGATCATACAGCGTCCAAGCCACCTCGCCCGAACATAGCAAACGAAAGCAACCCAAACCATTAGGAAGCTGGTTCAAATGTGCCGATTGTGCTTCGTATCCGAAGAGCCAGCTTGCCTGCAGAATATTGCTCAGGTAGCGTTCCATGTTGCCAGCACCAGCTTGGGTGAAGCAAGCCTCCTTGAACAGCTCGCCCACCTCTTTGAAGAGACCATCGCACTCCTCCATGCCATTGCCCTTCTGGATCAGCTCCTGGCATTTCCCCGATGCCTTCAGAGCTGCGGCCTTCTTGTAGGTGCCTCCGAATCCACCGAGCATAACTTGAACCTGGAAACGTGCTTGTGTCAAGAAACACAGGAGCATAGGGCGGCACATAACACACAAACACACACACACACACACACACGCACACGTCACAAGAGCCCAATGATTAGAATACCCAGTCACAAACTCCAAAAACTCAAGCCTATAAAAAATTACAGAGCCCAACTGCAATGAATATCCCATCGCAGCAGCCTTCGGGTTCTTCATGAAGTTGGTCATGGCTGTGAGGCTCGTGATGCAGCACGGTGCATCCACCGAGTTGATGGAGCCCTTGCCGGGGCCGCTGAGGATTGTCACAGGCTTGCCAACCAAGCTGCCATCATCGTTCTTCAAAGTCTCCAAGCTGATGCCGAAAATGGGTGGGAGGGTCGTCTCCTGCTGCTTCACCTGCTCTGCGGCTTCCTTAGCCTGCTTCTTTTTGGCACTGATCTCAACTTGCTCCATTTGCTTCTCTTCTTGAACTCGCTTGCGTTTCTGAGCCTTGTGACGGTTGAGTATGTGTGACTTGAGACTGCTAGCAGCTTTGCTGGCACCGTCCTTGAGCTCCTTCACCACCGCTGCTGCATTCTTCAGCGTCTCAACCTGCTTGTTCAACTCGTCCACGGTCTCGCAATGCAAGAAGCTCTGATGGATGTCCTCCATGTGTGCGCGACAAAGGACATGGCTGCTGTCCTTGACATGTTGAGCAGAGGATTTCCCAGCGTCGAGGGCCTTCCTCAAAGCATTGGTAATCTTGGCAACAACGTTCACGGGTGTGCTCGAAGCCACAGACTTTGCGTCTACACCCACGGCATTGTCAACATCCGCCTTCTCCTGAGCCTTTGGGGACTCCGGCAAGACCTCCTTGTCCGTGTCCTTCTCCTCGCTGCCATCCGCTTTGTCCCCACCCACAACCGGTGTCTCGGCCTTCTCCTTCTTCTGCTCCTCCGCCGACGGTTCGGCTGCAGCTGTGGAGGCCTCCTTCGTGGAAGGTGGCGAAGTCAATGATGCGGGCGGCACGGCCTCGGCATTTGTAGAGCCACCTGTCAACGAACTCGACGGCAAGGCCCTCTGCGCTGGAATGTCTTGAAGGGAGTCTGCTTGCCATATCTGCAGCACACGCAAACGAACCACACAATTGGTTTCATATGCCTGCTGCAACTTCTCCTCGCTGACATTGTTGCTGGCCAACTCTAGAACTTCTCGAACTGCCGTGCAAGCTCCATCCACCATGCTAACACACGATGGCACAATCTTTTCATTCTTCTCAAAGGCTCTCGGGGCTGCAATGGCAATCTCGACTTTGCCACCTGGTGCATTGGATCATCAGCAGCTTAAACTCAACCCCCAACCATACATCCTAAATAACCTTAAGCCCTAGACCCCCTAGATGCCAAACCCGAACGCCTTAAGCAAAACCCCCAGAACTAGCCTAAAACCTTAAAGTGCTAAGCAAAAGCCACAAAACTAACATGAACACGAATCTTACCACACACACACACACACCGGTTTTGTATAGCCAAAACTACAACATCGATCCACAAGGCCCCGAACCTGGTCTGCTCGGTACCTCGCTGGTCGTGGACGGTGCCCTCGAACTGGCAGCCGGCTCGTCGCTCTGTTGAGGCACACCCCGACGCAGCCAGGGATCAGCAAACGAATCGCACTGCCTATTCACGTGGTCCAGAAGGTCCTGCCTAAGAGCAACATGCACTGAAAGTCGCACGCTCGGATCATTTACATGATGCCACAACTTATTTGTGTAGCATGATACAATGTCATCATGATTGGCTTCAGTCATTAACTCTCTATGGATGAAAGGATCTGGCGCAGAATATAAACAAGTGAAGCTGTTATTCATATCGTTTGGGCAACCCACAAAGCATCGGAACCGGAACCCCACAACCCCATATCCTGTCGCTCTCTGCGATGCCCTTCACCTGCTTGGAGGATTCTTTCAGAGCGCTCTCGTTGAAGCGGATCTGGTCCCGGAAACGCTGCTTGTTGCGAACAACCCAAACCTTGGTGTCATGTCCTTCACCTTCTCGCTCAACATCCGTCTCAAGGAGGTCCTTCCATTTCTGCAGAGCTTCCTCGTCTGTGAGTCCACGGCCCTTCTGCCACTTGACAAAGTCAGTCACGTCCATCTGCTCCTCGTTGTTGCGGACGCGAAACTCGGCTCTTTTCCCAAAGGACTGTGTGAAGGCAGACCAGTCGATCAAAGACTTCCGGAACTTACCGGAAGGATTGTTCCTGGCAAAGTCGTCCAGGGCAAGCTGCGCTTTGGCCGGATCGCCCAAGGCAGCTTCGACTGCCGCGGAGATGTCCGCGTTCTTCTTCTGCCTCGCCTGGTATCGTATCGCCTCTGCATCCTTGTGGTGGTCGCCACAAAACTTCGAATGTGGCTTGACTTTCTTCTCGCACGTCGCTGCAAAGCATATCTTGTTTTCTGCTGCTTTGCGACCACGACCCTGACCCCGACCTGTGCGACTACGATCACCGCCCGTGGAGCGCCTACTACGACCCCGCCCCCGCCCACGACCACGGCCAGCCCCGCCGCCCGATGCCTCATCGTCATCATCTGAGCTGAGATCTTGCTTGAAGAAGCCACCAAGCATATCTTCATCATCCATGGCATCCACCTCACTACCCCCGTCCATGCTCACACTCAATGCTTGCTCGGCACTGCACTCTGATCGGACACCCCCCCCCCCCCCNNACACACACACACACACGCACACTCGCTCTCTCTAAAGCCTGCTGACAGCCTGGGAGATGTGTCGATCGACATGACATACAACATGCTCCTGCACAGTGCACACTGCACATGTAGGAACGAGTCCTGCATAGACGCATGCTGCAACTGCCAACGTGCTACCATTCCTATGCTTCTACGACAATGCGACATCTGCTTGTGGCTGATTCAACACTGTGCTCACAGGCCTACCTCACTGCACCGACTTCTGCATTTTTCGATTTGGTTCCTGACACTTCCTGATCAGGATCTGCTAGGTCCTGAAGCCGACAAGGCCGCATCCAAATTGCTTCCTCATCCTCCACAAACTATACAACGCGGGGACAAGGACACTTCTAAAAACGGCTACACCGCAACTACTGATCCTCTTCCTCGTCCATCCAGGTTGACATTCGTGTAAGACGCTGAGCTCCGGGGCTTTTCTTGATGATCTGGCCCATAGCATACAGCATGAAAGCCATCTGGGTTCTGAGGTGCATGGAGTTGCCAGCCAGCACTTTCACTTGGGACGGAGTGAGCTGTAAATTTGTCAACACCGTAGACATGTGGGAAACCGGGAAAAGGTTCGAGCCACCATACATCCTCCAACCCAAGGCACTTAGATGCTCCTTTGCAGTGGCCAATCGCCAGGCCGGCTTGGAATCACCATCATGAAAGCTTCGCTGAAAGGATATGATGGAGCCGTGGGTCAGCTGTGTCGGCCACAGCTCACCTCCACATGGTCCTGGACATAAAACAGTCAACCGCAACCCAACCACCCACAGCCCTAACAAGCTATCTCTCTAGTCTTAGAGCTTAGGGTTTAAGAGTATAAGGGTTTAGGGTCTAGCGGTTCGGTTTTTAGGCCGAGGGTTCATGTTTAGGGTTTAAGTTTTAGGCTGCTCAGCAAATACGCATGCAAATGTATCTTGTGTTGGCATTAATTGAATTAGGACTCTTGCGAACCTCGACTATCAACAATGGTCACTGGCTCGGAACCCTGACAACCTCTGAATTTCATCTTGCAACCCTTTCCTTTCCCGCCGACAGCATGGTCCACATCACAAAGAAAGGCTCGCAAGCGGGGGGTTTCGATCTTCTTGTCCATGTAAAGACCCTGCCACTCTCCCAAGCGTTTAACACCACCTGGCGGGAACAACAGGCAGGCCAAACCGTCCATGTCTTTCTTTTCCACGAGCTCGGCGATGTCCTTGGCATTCACATTGTTCTTTCGCCCAACAGCTATTGCTGTCATCTCCTTGATCCTCTCCTCATCGCTCGCCATCATGAGCATCTCGCCAGTGGAGGACATCTGCCGGTAGAACCGGCGAGCGTACTGTTCCTGCAGTGTGCTGAGGCCTGTCTCCCCCACCCAGGCAGCTGTACGCTTGTTGACTGCCACAGCCAAAACCCGACGGCGCCTATGTGGCCAACCATGCCACTCGGGGCCATCTTGCCACGCGAACACATTCGCACTGTCCCCGAACACGCGCTCCAAACGGTCCTGAGCCGGGAATCTTGGAGTACACTCCAAGAAGAGCACGTCCTCCAAGCACTCTTCGAACATGAACTTTCGCTCAGCCAACCATACTGCCAGAGGTATTTCTGACTCATGCGCAGTACCCTCCAACAAGCCCTCACTTGACCATGCGTGGCACGTCACGCCGGCTACGTTCATCCTCAAACGCTCCTCCTGCTCTCCAAGCAGACACTGGTGCACGCGGCAGCGCCTGCCCGTTCTCAGGAATGTGCAAAGAGGGTCTTCATGGATTGAAAAAAAAGAGAGACATGAAAGGAAGACAAAGTAGGTTCAGGACTCGAAGACTTGGAGTGCATGTAGTATACATGTCGGGAAGACATCTGCTGCAAGCCCCCAAAAACTGCTGACACGTCTACTGCTGCACGCATGACATAGCCGGCGATGCTCTCAGCCTCTCAGACTCTCAGCCTATTCACACGTGCACGCCTGAAGTTTGACTGCATCTTCCACCCCCGTCCGGAAACCGAAAGCACCGGCCTCTGATGCACGCAGCAAAAAGCTGTGGCATCCTTGCTGAACAGCCACGACCGGTTCTGCATCAACCAGTCTGCGATAGCAGCATGCGCCTCGGCACGCTCTGCTTTGGTAGCATGCTTCCCAGGGGAAGCTGCTGCAATCCAATCTTGACCACGCTGCGGAAGACGATGCAGAATGTCTTCAAAATGGCACCTCTCATGATCCTGCAAAACAGCCTCGATGCTCTGAGCTAACTCCACCTGCACTCGCTTCTGAAGCAAGCCTTTGTCACATGTGCGGCCCACATGCACTACCTGCGCACCCGGCTCTATGTTCATGACATGCTGCAGCGCCCGGACGCCCATCTCCAGGGCCTCCCTCGGACAGTCCAGACCACTGTAATCAGTGGTCAAAACCATGCCTTTCAAGACATGATTCCGCAATCGGAGCTGGCATTCCTCATTGCCGGCGCCACACAGGGAACTCACAACATCTAAAGGCCATTCCACAACATCGTCCTGGCTGCGAAGGCCAGGAGGTGCTGCTGACAAGTCACATGCCTGGCAGTCAGGCTCCTGTTCCACAGATGTGCATCTCTGAAGCACCCTTCGGCGCTTCACGGTTGCCATGCATGGCAATGCCATCAAGCTGTATCACAAGCGAGCACACGAGTCGTATGCCCTCACTGCATCGAAGACAGACACTGCACGCATATCTAGCCGTGCCCAAAAGCAACTAGTACTGTGTATATTACATGCATGTAAACGTGCAATACAAAGGCACGACTTTGCACTTGTGCTTCCTCTATGTCCATGTGCGTCAACGAGCGCACAGCAAAAGCGAGCCTGAAATGGTGCGAAAGTGTGGGATATGTATTGCAGCACATCGACCGCGTGCCATGTCTTGCCACTTGTGCATGTGTCACAGTGGCTCTCTGAACACATGACAGCCTATCGGTCCATTCAAAAGGTGCCCAGCCTTCAACTTGAACCCCTGAACGTAGGCATCATCAGCATCAGTCCACCACCACAAAAAAGATAGCACCCAACGGGAGGACTCCATGTTTCTGCTCATGGTGCACAGTGCAAATCTCATTCCAAAGTTTCAGAGTGGCCACTACCACACATCACCCAACCGACCGTTTCTGCATCATGCATCATGAGCTGCTGCGAAAGCAGAAGAATAGATTTCAACTTTCAACACAGAAAACCAACAGGCCTGGGCCCGACCCGAGCCCAAATTGTCTCCGTCTCAGTCAAGTCAAATCAGGGCAACATGTCGTTCATGCAAGGCAACGCCAGCACTCAACCCTCCCCATTAATTACTCCCCAACACCACCATTCCCATCTGATTTGCGTCTGAGTGCACTCAAACCACACTTCACTGCCAGCCAGCCGGTTGTTTGGGTTGGGGGGGAGGCCGGGGACGGGGAGGTCACAAAACCGAACCAGGCAGGGTCCGGCTCGGCCGGGTCCGGTCGTAGAGTCGTAGATTCTTTCTCCAAAGCAGAACCAAGCAGCCAACCGCAAAGATGTGGCACCAAAAAGCTAATTTTCACAAAAGCCCCCAAAATGGTTGTTTTTTATACTTTTTTCATATTTTTGATTCAGTTATTAAAAAAAACGTGTCAAAAGCTGCAAAAAGCAATAATTTCGTTGTTTGGCTTGCATTTTCGGTTTCACAGCTCCACTGGGCCAGACCCCGTGGAGTTCTAAGACACGACTCCGGGGAACTCCGGGGAACTCCGGGGAACTCCGGGGGACTCCGGGGATAGGGGTCTGTCACTCCCCGACACAACAGCTGAATAACAGACCCCAAATCTTTGCTGGCATACTATACGTAAAGTTTCAGAGGCCCATATGCCAGGATAAAACTGGTATCCCCGACGGCAAAAACTATCCTGGAAGGCTGCCCGTAGGAAAACAACATCATCCTGGCATATATTTAATCAAGTTCCCCAGGCCGCCGAAAAAGGGGGAGCTGGACTGGTTAGGCGGTGTCCGATTTTTCAGTTTCACAACCTCAGAGTCCGAACCCAAAATTCCAGCAGACCTTGTGTCTGGTTGTTTTTTTTTCTATCTAATGGTTAATCTTGAAAAAAAACAAAAAAACTTTAAAAAAAAAATAAAAACTCATCAAAAATTTGAAAAATAACAAAAACGCCAAAAACTCTTCGAAAAGCTGCTTCCACGGAGCTTTTGTGATTTCGGGCACGGCCTGTCAACCGCAGACGTCGAGGAAGGGAGAATTGCCCTAAGGTTTTGGGGAGCTGCTGTGAATGGTAGGCACAACTGTACTCACCATTAGATAGCCCCGGTTTGCCTTTGTTGATACGCCTGCCTAGCCTCTTATCTATGCTTGGGCACCTTTTGAATGAACCACATAGAAACATGGGATACACTTGTGCTTGCACAAACCACCCAGACAGCATCTCAACAATAGGCATGGAAATCTGCGAAAGCACTCAGACAGTCCCCTACTTGCAGTCGAAGCTAGAACCTCTTTCGGGCGCGGTCGGTCACCACTTGCTTGTCCGATTGTTGCCAAGCAAAGAAGCCTTCACTACACAGAAATGGCGCTGCACAGCTTTCTGCATGCATGTTTCACGATACTTGACATGCGCTTCTGCTATATGCCAAAATCCGACGAAGTTCTGGAATCTGAAGCCTGAGGCTGTCTGCACCAAACAAACAGGCAACACTGGCAACACTGGCAACTGGCAACACTGAGTTCTGCTACTCTCCTGTTTGCTGCAGTGGCTCAACAGCATCTGCATGGCTTTGGGTGGCCAGTGGCCACCGACTCCACACTCACAATCAGAAGTTCTGCTGCTTGCTCATGGCAACAGTGTCCGGATAGACTGCACAACCGTTGGAGGCTCGAGCAACCGATGTCTTTGGTATTATGTGATGAACTAGAAGAAAACACAGTATGATGCTTCCACTTTCTCGATCTATCTCTCTCTCATTCTGACTCAGAACATGTACTTGATCGCTCTGCCACAACGGGGTCCCTACATCTCTGACCTGAAGTGCTGCATTCTCAGCGGCACATCTGCATCAACCCTTTGCAGTAGAGGACGATGCGATAGTGGAGCAGGGCAGAAGGACCTGAGATGCATGTCGAGTGCTGCTGCAAGGCTGCGAGCTGAAGCGAATGGATTCGGCATGTTCCAGTGGCACACACTGACAAGAGAAGCCAACTCCATGCTGCTATCGTCGCATGACCATCATGACCTATGACCCACAATCACTGGGACCATGGCTTGCTGGAGATGCTGAACACTTTGCTTCCCACCCAATTCGCCCCTTGTCACCAGCACAACTATAAGCCGAGTTGCGACGTTGACAAACTCTGGGAAGCTGCGAAGCCGACCTTGGCAAGATAAGAGAGTTTATTTGGGACATGTAAGGTTCTAGAGGTTTCGCTTATAGTGGTTTACGTTCTAGAGTCTACAAACGGGTTTGTGGCAGACCATGACCTCGAGTCCTTTCACCTGAACCCATCTACTCTATCTCATACCAAGCAAAGCAGCCGAGAGGCTCAACCGCCACGAATGCTTAATCGCCAGCTGTTTGCGTGATACTGCCACACGTACCCCCTTGGCGGAGGTAAATTGGGGTGCAAATACCCCCAGGTTAATGCTTCCTGCAGTTCCTTCGGTATGCCGTACAAAGCTGACGTCTTCTTGTTGCGCTCCCGCTGTTCCAACGACGAGTCTGGTACTCCACCTTGCTCTGCAAGCTTGATCATTCGTTCGTGGACATCCTTGGGCACAGATTTGCCCCTAGCACCCAACAACTTCTTCCCCCTGCGCAGCTTTGCCGGAGCTACACAGAACGGAGCTTGAATGGCATCGTCAGCACCAGACGCCATGATTTGATCAAGGTCTTCTTCTGAAAGCAGAGTCCCGTCTCGAAGATTCGCCAATAACATATCACGGCTTGATCTGTCCATATGGTCAGACCTGGTCGGCATGCTGTGGCCTAGAAGAACCCATGCTTTGAGCACTCGCCTCGAATCCCTTTCGGATCCGGCGACGCTCACGGCCAATTCTCTGGTGCATTTGTCCTCTTTGTTGTGTGCTGGCAGAGCGCACCGCATCTGGTACGATTGCACGACACCTTCCTTCAACCGCGGAGTCAGGTAGTGCAGGCCACATGGAATCCTGTTGAAGCGGTCGCGCGTAAACGGTACTCCTGACGCGTTGGAAGGTTTCGCTGCGCCCGAAGCAGAGGCTGCTACAGTGGCAGCACCTGCCTCTGCAGAAGGGCCACCGGAACTACTGCTGCTGCTGCTGTCTGAAGAACTGCTGCTGCTGGTGTCGCTGCTGCTGCTGTCGTCGCCCTCTGGGCCGTGGCTGGGCTTGTTTGAAGTGGCTGCATGATCCGGCTCCGTGGCTGTTGCATGCAATGCAGCTTCGTTGTGCAACACAAGTTCATCCTCTTCATCAAAAAGATCCAACATCTCTTGCAAAACCTTCGAGTCGCAAGACTCAGCATCAGAGGCGAGGTCTGCCTGGGAATAGCGGTCATCCTCTAGTCCATGCCCTTCAAGCGGAGCCCTTTCACTACCATCCTCCACAGCCGCACCTGCCGCCGCTTCCGCGTCTGCAGCTGCGAGATCGGCGAGATCATCAGCACGGACACCGTCCGCAACAGCAGCGGAGCTCTTGGCCCGAGGCTTCCGTGCACCGGCCTTTCGCTTGGGATGAGACGTCTTGCGATGCTTCGATTTCGGCGCAGCCGCTTCTGCAAGCAGATCCCAATCGTCAGCATCAGCCAGAGCAAAAGTGTGACCACGACGACGCTTGCGTTTAGACTTCTGGCCCTCTTCCCAGACAGCCAAGGCATGAGGGTCCACGAGCCGCAAATATTCCTCAATCGGCCGGAAATGTGGGACTGCAATCTCCTGTTCGTCAGCCAGAAGCAAGGCTCTGCAATAAGCCTTGAAACGAGCAGTGTGAGGATCGCGAACATCAGCCGCACATATCCACCACTGCTTCTCGCCTCCGTGTTCATACGGACGCTGACTTGCCTGTCTCCTGCCAGGTATCTACATAGATCAACTTTAAGTGAGTTCGGTTTGACGTGGAAGACGGACAAAACACGATTGAGACATGTTTCTTATGCATACTGCATCAGAAACACACGTGTTCCGTGCTGCTGCAACCTATGCTACCCCCTGCCACCTGCCTCACACAAATTGAAGCTGCATGTACAGATTCGATCCTAGTATTTTCACAGCAACAGCTACGACATGTCAGGACACCCAGCAGCACGATAAATTCCATGTTGTTGTAACATTGTAGGACAGCGATGTAGCATTTATCACTGTAGTTTAGTTTTCAGCCAACCAGTCATATGCGAGCCATCACGCGCCACCAAGCACTGCCATCTGTTGGCCAGCAACTCCTCGACAAGCTCGAAGGTAGAACGATCTGCAAGCGGAAGGTCGGAACGAATCTGGAGGATCTTTGAGGGAGCAGTAGCTAAAACCGTCGCGGACGCTGCTTCTGGGTCTGCCTGCACAGAGGAGGACTCCTCCCACATTCGGAACGATCGCAGCTGGGCCAAACTTAGGCACGACAAAGAACACACCAAAGGAACCTCTTGCAAGCCTTCACCAC